GGGGGGGCACTTGGAGAAGCTGTTTTCAATATGAACACCTTACACAACCTGGATTATTGAAGTCAGATTGAGAAGTTACCGAGTTACCTGCACAAGGACTGATGAAAATCACCATATAACAACCAGTAGGGGGCAGAAATACGCCGTTGTAGCGTCAAAGTCTGTTTAACCAAAGAGCAAGAATTCACATTTCAGCATGGTTCTTTCAGCTATGTAGGTACCTGGCTCTCAAAGTGTAATATTGCCTAAACAAACTTGTAACGATTATTGACATTAAAGTAATGAACTGACATTCGGTGTCTGTAGGTCTCAGAATTGGGGGATAGTTTTTAAACCCAGCGACTCTGATAAACCTACGGAAGAAGAACGACGAAGTGCACGCGGACACCAACGTTCTAGCTTCATGGTAGCTGTAGGAGGTGCTGTCAGTCATCATGTCATTTTGTTTTAACTTTGACATTGCAGCACAAACAACAAAGCAGGACCGCGTCGATGGAAATACATTGCAAAAGGTAAAGGGAGACGATGCAGCTAAATCTGTGAGTAGTGTTAACCTACTGACGTTAATAATGCGCTGTAGGTTCATTTCACGGACAGCGGTCGTGATACCAAATAGTTGTTTCCTTAGATCCATTGTAGGCATCTGCAGTACAGATGAATTACTGAACGGGCTTACCAGGCACAGCCCCAGGGGGCCCCTAGAGCTCACCTGCAAAATGGCCAGAATGAGGCACAAAAGGCCCACAAAGGAATCCAAAAGCATCTTCAGATTCAAAATGTCTTCAAAGAGACACAGAAGATCTGCCAAGACATGTTGCAAAATGGCCACAAAGGGACAAAAAGATAAGCAGGAAGACCTCAAAGAGACTCAGGGAAAACCATAAAGAGAAGAGATGTAACATTACGACAAAGACACTCAGTTACTGTTACAATGATGCAAATGTCAAAGAGATAAACGACATGCTAAACAACTACCAGGAGATACAAAATGACTACAGAGAGTTGTCTCTTTCAGTCTGGGTGTCTTTGTTTCTGTGTGTGTGTCCATGTCCCTGGGCCCATTGCATCATAATTTGTCAGTGATTCTGTAGTTACAGTTAAAAGTGTGTGCATGCAGTGGCATGTATAACTTTATGAAGGCTTGAAGCATGAGGGGAAGAGCTGAACCCGTAAAGTATTAAAAGCTTAGAACTGCCTCTTATGTGAAATACTACAGTACTACAGAAATGACATTGTGCTTTGTAACATAACACATCTATTACAGCGGAAAAGATCCAAGGATAACATGTAAAATTCAGATATAATTAAAACAATGTATGAATGCAAAATAAAACTATAGGCTACATACAGTGCCTTACGAAAGTATTCGGCCCCCTTGAACTTTGCGACCTTTTGCCACATTTCAGGCTTCAAACATAAAGATATAAAACTGTAATTTTTTGTGAAGAATCAACAACAAGTGGGACACAATCATGAAGTGGAACGAAATTTATTGGATATTTCAAACTTTTTTAACAAATAAAAAACTGAAAAATTGGCCGTGCAAAATTATTCAGCCCCCTTAAGTTAATACTTTGTAGCGCCACCTTTTGCTGCGATTACAGCTGTAAGTCGCTTGGGGTATGTCTCTATCAGTTTTGCACATCGAGAGACTGAAATTTTTGCCCATGCCTCCTTGCAAAACAGCTCGAGCTCAGTGAGGTTGGATGGAGAGCGTTTGTGAACAGCAGCTTTCAGTTCTTTCCACAGATTCTCGAGTGGATTCAGGTCTGGACTTTGACTTGGCCATTCTAACACCTGGATATGTTTAGTTGTGAACCATTCCATTGTAGATTTTGCTTTATGTTTTGGATCATTGTCTTGTTGGAAGACAAAGCTCCGTCCCAGTCTCAGGTCTTTTGCAGACTCCATCAGGTTTCCTTCCAGAATGGTCCTGTATGTGGCTCCATCCATCTTCCCATCAATTTTAACCATCTTCCCTGTCCCTGCTGAAGAAAAGCAGGCCCAAACCACGATGCTGCCACCACCATGTTTGACAGTGGGGATGGTGTGTTCAGGGTGATGAGCTGTGTTGCTTTTACACCAAACATAACGTTTTGCATTGTTGCCAAAAAGTTCGATTTTGGTTTCATCTGACCAGAGCACCTTCTTCCACATGTTTGGTGTGTCTCCCAGGTGGCTTGTGGCAAACTTTAAACGACACTTTTTATGGATATCTTTAAGAAATGGCTTTCTTCTTGCCACTCTTCCATAAAGGCCAGATTTGTGCAGTATACGACTGATTGTTGTCCTATGGACAGAGTCTCCCACCTCAGCTGTAGATCTCTGCAGTTCATTCAGAGTGATCATGGGCCTCTTGGCTGCATCTCTGATCAGTTTTCTCCTTGTATGAGCTGAAAGTTTAGAGGGACGGTCAGGTCTTGGTAGATTTGCAGTGGTCTGATACTCCTTCCATTTCAATATTATTGCTTGCACAGTGCTCCTTGGGATGTTTACAGCTTGGGAAATCTTTTTGTATCCAAATCCGGCTTTAAACTTCTCCACAACAGTATCTCGGACCTGCCTGGTGTGTTCCTTGTTTTTCATGATGCTCTCTGTGCTTTAAACGGACCTCTGAGACTATCACAGTGCAGGTGCATTTATACGGAGATTTGATTACACACAGGTGGATTCTATTTATCATCATTAGTCATTTAGGTCAACATTGGATCATTCAGAGATCCTCACTGAACTTCTGGAGAGAGTTTGCTGCACTGAAAGTAAAGGGGCTGAATAATTTTTCACGCCCAATTTTTCAGTTTTTTATTTGTTAAAAACGTTTGAAATATCCAATAAATTTCGTTCCACTTCATGATTGTGTCCCACTTGTTGTTGATTCTTCACAAAAAATTACAGTTTTATATCTTTATGTTTGAAGCCTGAAATGTGGCAAAAGGTCGCAAAGTTCAAGGGGGCCGAATACTTTCGCAAGGCACTGTAAATAAGAGAACGTGTATGACACTAAACTGAAGATTCACTTACCGGTACCATACTTTATTGCCTTTATTTATATATAAATAAATTTGGAATCATGAGGTTATTAACTCAGTTTTAAATTAGATTACATAAAATAAAAAGGGACTGTCATGAAAAGAGTTCAGTTGATGGATGACTTGATAGAATTTCTGTAGTACAGGAAAATGTACTGTACAGGCCGGTGTGTATGTAAAAACACCCATGAAGAGGAAAAATCCTAAATCCATAACAACAGTGAGTAATTTATCATTTTAGATGTTTCATTTTTCCATGCTATGGTTTAAAATGAATTAAAACATGGAATAGAATTGATTCATACAACTACGAAGACGCAGTAGACGTCTTCCTGGAAAGGCCAAGTATTCAGAGTTGCCTCTTGAATGGAGCACAGAAGAAGACCGCGGTAGCACACCCCCTCACTAGTACACACACACACACTACCCATATCATACTGAGTAATTTCCACTGTAAGAGTGATTCCATCACAGCTGATCAACAATGAAAATACTTTTGTTAAGTGTGCATCCACTAAAGAGCGTAGGTTGATGGTTGAGAAGGTTTTTGCTCATGATCCTTGACGTCACAGTGTTACAGACCACAAGTTGTTATTGTTATGCCTGACCCCAAAGTATGCCAAAAAGCCATGTGACAAACTTGACCAGAAATGTTTTTAACCATTATGCTTTGGTGGGTGTGACTATATAAACAGATTAATCAACCATTCCACACATGACATTTGCAGTGTTTCAGTCACACACTGAATCACATGGCTGCTGTTGAACAGTCTCTTGTTTAAGTGAAGTTCCATATATTTGCTGATAAGGGCCATTGGAAATATGTGTATGTACAGTAGCAAAGAGAAAACATTTGTTCCCTACCCACTCATACTGCTATATTTTTTTCAGACAGAGGACAATACCAAACCAGCAGAGCCAGTAAAAGAGGCCAAAGAGCACCTTCCACCATCTGACCCGCAGTTCCTCCTCACGGATGCTGTCTTTGAAACAGTTACCATTGGGACTTTTCCTCCTCTCCACTTCCTTAATGAGACAGTTTTTGAGAAGACAGCCTCAGAGAGAGAGGACAGGGAAAAAATCTTTTCTCACACTGCAGAGCAGAGGTCTGACCTCATCTCTGGCGTGTACGAGGGTGGGCTGAAGGTGTGGGAGTGCACCTATGATCTTCTGGAGCTGATTGAGAAAAATGGAGAAACCTTTGGGGGGAAGACAGTTTTAGATTTGGGCTGTGGTGCGGGGCTGTTGGGGATACTGGCTCTGAAGAGAGGAGCCACACAGGTCCACTTCCAGGATTATAACAGTACAGTTATTGAACAGCTCACAGTGCCAAATGTAATACTGAACTGCCAAGATGATGATGAAATAGACAGTGAGGATAACAGAAAAGGGAGGAGCAAGAAAAAAATACAGGAGGAAGATGTTTGTGAAAAGAAGGTGAAAGAAAACATGGAGGTGGAGGGTAGCGGCCCACCTCCTAAGAAAAGAGCTATAGACCTGTCGCAGCACCCTTTATTAGCCAAGTGTCATTTTTTCTCTGGTGACTGGAGGACATTTCTTGCTTTGGTTCTAAAGAGAGATCCAACACCCAAGTATGATATTATATTCACCTCAGAGACTATTTACAACACTGCTTACTACCCTGCGCTACATGAGACGCTCTGCAAACTGCTGGCACCAAATGGACTTGTCTACCTCGCCACCAAATCCCACTACTTTGGTGTAGGTGGTGGGCTTCACCTGTTTGAGACCTTTGTGGAGCAGAAGGGTACTTTCTCTGTGGATCACCTGTGGGATAAGGAGGAAGGACTTCAGAGGCATGTAGTTGTCCTACGTTTTAAAACGACAAAGGACACTTAAACTGTCAGAGTCTCGCATGGTTACTAAAAGGGATGTGTGATTGCTACACAGTTTAATAGAAATAAAAAAAATATCAGGATTGTCTTTTAGTCTTCAGCATGAAGCTTGTATATAGTATGTTAAAGCAAAATTGTAATAAAAAGGAAAGTCTGTAATAGAAAAAATGCTGTCTTGTCTCCTATTTGCCCTTTGGGTTCCAGCACCTTCTTTCATTTCCTATATAGAAATTTGAATATGCCTGCCAGTAACTCAAGTCGAAAGGGCTTGTTACAGGTCTTTAGATGCATGGGGAGGAAAGAAAGGAAATGGGCTCAGTGACCTTTGTGAGTGATTTTCTCCAGTGGTCAAACAGCAGTATGAATGCCAGGATTGTTTCGGAAGTTCGGCGCAAAATGTCATTTGCAACTTATCCCACCAGGATGTAGTTTGAAAGTGGATGCACATCAATGATGAGACTCTATGGGGTCTCTGTACTTTTCAGTCAAGTAATGGCTCCTCTTGATGTGGTCAGTTTTTACCTTCAGTTAAATTCACCAAAAAATCTGGGTGTTGTGAAACAAAAAGGCATGACACATTATTATGAGTGTGTACATCCTGGAAATGTGATGTGTTCAAGTATGCATCCAAATACAAGAAGGGAACTATTTTGTAAAGTTTTCCAACCCTATGTGGAATCCCCTCTGTGTCCAGATGAAGAAAAGCTATTAAACTAATCTAGCAGGGTTTTTTCTGAGGAAGTACATGCCAAGTCCTGACCACCTTCTTGTATTTGAGGTGACTGGTTTTGTTTTTTAACATTGTTAGTGAACAATAAAACAGTTTGAATATCTCTTTCTGCTAGCTTGTTTAAAAACTGGTTTTACCCTGCTGACCCAGTCCTGTTATGTCCATCTGACTCCATCAGTATCACATGCCTGTCACATTTGACTATAACCACAGGGCAAACAAAGCTATTTTAGGACAGCTGTGTTATTGAATGCACCTCTGTCAGACGTCACCTGAACAAATGACCCCAGCTACACAAATATTCACCTGAATTGATCTCACCCTAAACATGCCCATGACGCAAGTAGTATACTCTGCCCCGCTGAAAAATAATATTTAGAAAAGATAAAACTCTTTTATAGGAAACATGGTGTCACCAGCTCAAACATGACTGTGCATTTCAACACCCACAGTGTGAAGACAGAATTTCCAATTACTTATTATGTAAATAAAGGTGACTGTAGTATTTTTTCACTATTACACACATACAAAACACTTAACACGGTTTCTGTTTGCATATGCCTGGCTAGTAAACTTCCAGTGTGTCTGCATCGTCATCACCTCTCTCATCTTGACAGCTGTTCATGGCCTGTGGGGGAATTCCTGGTTCCTCGAGTAGATACAGCCTTTCCCCTGCTTACTTTATGGGAACAAGGGGCAGGGCCAGTCAGATGGTTTTCCTCAGAAACTGATTCACTGTGAGGGGGCGTGCTCTTCACTCCCACTGTTTCCTTCTTACTGGGAAGTGACTGTCAAGCTTACCGTACAGAGGAAGTGTATGAAAAAACAGGCAGAAGAGGGAGGGAGGCTAACGGGTGATGTGAAAGGTGGTGGTATTTAAAGTTCTTTGCTCTGAATGTCAGCCAGTATGCTGTATTCTTCCTTGGGACTTGGAGGACATGGGAGAGCGAACAGAACTTGCAGGTGAACTGGGGAGGAATGGCTTTCTCTATGCTCATTTGGTTTGGAAAGACCTGGTGCCGATTCAACACTTGAAACATCTTTTTTGTTGAGACTGGACTGCTGAAGTGTGTTTAAAGCTTTACTCTGCGAGAGCACAGTCCTGGGAAGCCTTTATGAGGTGATGTTTTTCTGATATATCCATGAACTGGAAAGAAAACAGTCGGTGAATGACTGCAGTAAGGACATAGGCAGAAGATCTCAAACTGGTCAGCTTATTGGTTTGAAAAGTAAAACTGGACACATATTATATTCACTGTATGTACTGCTTGTTAGTTGTCAGATACGTCTATACAAAAGTAAAGCAAGTTGTGTTTTTAAAGAGAAAGAAAAGAGTTCTTAGAAGGAAATATCAACTTTCACATTTTCTGAGCACCAGCAGATTAAGAGTGTTAATACGGTCATACTTTGTTATCCAATCTGAGCTGTTTAATTTAGTGCAGATTAGGTTAATGCCTTAGCGGGAGAAGATTTTTTTTCTTTCTAGTAACAAGCCCGTAGAACTGGTTGTTTCCTAGTCTAACTATACCGGAAAGATAGGAGTTTCCTGAAAATGTTCAGGTGTGGCCTTCCTCAGAAAGTTCATTGTACCTTATTGCGTGTATCCTACAAAAACTTTCACTAATACTGAATAACGCACAGGAGTGAGATAACATTGAGGAATTACAGTGTCTCATTGTACTGTCACTGTCAGTATTGATCGGAGGCCTTCATTGTGGTGTTTTTTAGGTAAAGAAAAAGATTCTGTAATACAGTGGAAGACGGTTAATATGAAACTTTGAAGGGTTCAAACATACATTGGCCTATGATATGTCAGCAACCACAGTGTCCCAAAGTTCTTTTCTTGGGAGTGTACAGCTATAACTGATGAGTCATTTCATGCCGTGACCAGAGCACTATCACCATGAGCCGATTCAGTGCATCAGTCCAGTGGACAGACTTTCAGTTCAGTGGTTGTGAAGCAATTCCAGGAACACTGAGGTTGAGAAGAAGGTTGGATTCCTCAGATGAGCCTGAAACTCTCCATAGGCTGTGTCTAACCGCTGAACTGAATCCATTCAATCATAACTGGAGGTTTGGAGATTTGTTTTCCACTTTGGTATAATTCCACTTGCCTCTCAATCTGTAGCCAACTTATGAAAAAGTGTTTTAAATTATATATTTCACCATAAAAGAATGCAAAAAGCCAACAATTACTGTTTAAGAACAGCTTTTGCCAGTGCAATGGCTTCTTGCGCAATCTTCCAGTGAAAGAAGTGCGGTTTATTATCTCATCATCATCATGTTTTACTTGTGAAATAGGGACAGTCATGCATGACCTAACTGCAATGTGCTGCTCGATGTCCTGTGCATCATACATTGTCGTAAAGCCACTCCTTTTTTAAAATTCATTTATTTTATTGGTTGTATGTTGCTTTATTTTGGTTTTATTCTAACACTACATACGGAGTAGGCTGAGTTGAAAAGCGCATTAATAATCAAGCCTGAGTTGTGTCAAATCATTAAGCTATCAAAGGATCAAGAGGCTCCTGAGGACCAAATTTCAATAAGTGCTCTACTATGAGAACTGAATTCCATAGATGGTGGCTACTTCAGGTGTCATCTATGGGCTCAGTTCTTTTGGCATGGTACTAATTTATCAGTTTGTCAGACTTACTGCAAAGCACCAGAGAGCAAGAATCTTGGCCACAAGAAAGCATCAATACTTGTGTGATTTACATTGGTTCCAACATGTCTTGGGTTTACTACATATTGCCTCTGTTTTTATGTTTGTATATACTGTTATCTTTCATCAAGTGATATAAAATGCATTAATTTGAAACAGTATATCATATTGCTATGAGTAAAATAAGCACTTTTATAAATTCCTGATCAGTTTTTTTTTTTTTTCAAAATTGATGCAAAGCATGTTGTATTTTGTTAATAAAGTAATTCAAAGTGGATTATGTTTCACTGTGATTTATTAACTCATAAAATAAAAGAATGAGAGCATTCAAGGGTAATGGTTTTTCAGAAATACAAGAGCTGCCATACGTACCTGGGGACCTTTTTTCAGATCTTACCTCAGCTCTAGATTCTTAAAATCTTCAGCCATGGTGATGGCAGTTAGATTATCTTTAAACAATACAATTAGATATGACAGCCAACATTCTTTTCAACTGCATCTTCATGAGTATCTAACACATTTTCCAGCAACAATTATACTTAAGTGTAAAATACAAAGCAGTACAGGAACAGGAAGATTCAATCATGTAGCTGTAATACAATAAGCTGTAATACTATAAGTTAAAGCAATTCTTTTGAAGTACCCGTTGTGTCTCAAAGTCATTCTGGAGTATGCCTTGAACTGTATAGACAGGACCCTCCTGATACTCTCTGTTACCTCCATGAAAGGACTTTGTATACACCATTTCCAGTCTCCCTCAAGATAGTTTTTGTTTTGAAAGCCCTCTGTCCAAGGGGTGGACAGACATTAGGCTACAGGAACTGAAGATGCCACAGTTGCTGATCTTTCATTACTACACTATTACTGTAGCTCTACTCTTACATTCAGTATCATGATTAAGATGACAATGCAATTATTATCTCTTTTCTGGGAAGTAATGATAAAAAAAAATCGCTAAACTATCCTTCAGCTAAGCGTGTTGGTGTTTTCCCTTCTACTATATGTCTGATAATGCATAATTTTATTTTATGAAATAAATTATTCCCATTGAAAAAACTGGCAGTCCTTCCTTGTTAATCACTTAACTGGCAAACAATAAGGCCTCAGCCATGTGGCTCCACTTCAACCAAACACCTAACTTCAATCACACACATTTATACATCCGTTTTACTGATATAATACTGGCTACGTACTGCACATACTGTATATAACATAAGCAATATTATATACATATGCATAGGCTACATACAGTGACTACATAACATAATATACAGGCTAAAATAATTGTCTCACAATAGCCATTTTTATGTGTAATGTAATGAATACTTTCAGATACTTAATGCCCATTTTGCTGACAGTACTTCTGCACATAAAGGTACTTAAGTAAAAATTTGAAAGCAGAACTTAAGGATAATCACCTTTATCTGGCCAAGTGGGGTATTTTACATTTTTTTTACATGTACATTTTGCTACTTTTACCTAAGTAAAGAATCTGAATGCTTTTTTTTTTTTACCACTGGAAACCTCCGCTTTTCTTTGAAGGCCTAACTATCCTACTGGACATTCATCATTTTGCCCCTGAAAAAGTTGAAGTACCGACTCTGGAATCACATGGGCGCTATTTGATTGACAGTGTATCGGCCAATCATAACATTTATAAATCAACACAAACATGAACGTCTTTTTTCCATTGGATATTAGTAGCCAGCGATCAGTGACGTCAGGGCCTTCAGCCAACCAAGTTTTGGTGGAGAATGAGCAACAGGCTGGGTTTATGCCGAGTGTAGCATAACGAGTTGAGTTATACCTGTTTAATGTAGGTGTTATTATCAGTGCGAGGCCTTTAACTTTGTCTCTTTTTCTTGAATTTGGGTTAGGTAGTGGAAGATAATTTAATTCACGTTTTATTAAATAGAGTAACCACATTTGTTCGTTACCGTGGCATGGATGAGGTACGGCCTACCAGTGTTGCTCAAGCCCACGGGCTGGTTCCTCTGTTTCCTCCTGGACTCCAGGCTATCTACGGGGAATGCCGGCGACTTTACCCCGAGCAGGCCAACCCGCTTCAGGTCACAGCAATTGTAAAATATTGGTAGGTGACGTTATGCGGTTTCATTGTTGCTGTTCTGGCTCTGCCGTAGTTCCCGAGTTTGTGAAATAAGTTTGTTTTGATGGCTAAACGTTTAGCCAATAGTTAGCTTAGCTGTCAAGCTAACGTTTCACCCAGCTATATTCGCACACCACGTATGTTATGGAGAGTTTGTTAACCACAGTAGCTCAACTAAAACACCTCGATTTAAATGCATCTCAGTACTCGAATATAATGTAGGTTATTACCTCCCATGTTAACCAGCTGTTTGTATATACGTGTGCTGATGATGATTGCTCGTTTTTTGATTCTCACAGGTTAGGGGGACCAGACCCGTTAGACTACATCAGTATGTATAGGAATACGGGATGCCCAGCTCAGGACATCCAGGAGCATTGGCACTATGTCAGCTTTGGACTGAGTGACCTATATGGTGATAATAGGGTTCATGAGTGAGTACATTAATGTAACAACTAGACATGTAGATGTCCACGGTAGTTATTTTCAACACACCTTATAGCTGGGTTGAAGATGCAGAGTTTACATAATCTGTTTTGTTTTACACTGTAAAAAAAAAAAAAACTAAATTGATACATAACATTAAGGCTCTTTAGGTATGCTAAATATTCCCTTATGTGGGTAACCCAACTACTAACTAACACGACACTTAATGATCCTCTGCTGTACAGTGCACTGTTGATATTGACAAACATTTGAGATTTTTATAGCCTTCATTCATTGAAGAGAGAATAAAAGTACTGGTATGTGTGTCAGATTCACAGGTGCAGAAGGACCTAGTGGGTTTGGCTTTGAGCTCACCTTTAGACTTAAAAGAGAGGCAGGAGAGACAGCACCACCAACCTGGCCAGCTGAACTGATGCAAGGCCTGGCTCGTTATGTGTTCCAGTCAGGTAAGAGCACAGCATTTAGATGTTTTGCATCTTTGCAGTGGAGCAACAACCGCAGGTCGTGGCATGTGATTTTTCAGCAATAATTCTGAAGAATTAGGAGAATACATATATATAGGGAGAGAAAGAGAGAGAGAGTTCCAGTGATAACTAAGCTGTAAAGATTAATCATTTATAAAAGCACCAAACATTTGTTATCAAAGTGATAACTAGCTGTGTAAAAAGTTTCACACTTTTTAGTTTAATCTTTAGCTGTTAGTTAGATTGAAGAGACTTTTGATACATTAATTTGGGCTCTGGGTGTCCTTTTATCATTTTATGTTGTAAAAAGAAAACAACTCAATCACTAAAACAATAAAAAAAAAAACTAAGATGTAATGAAAAACATTGTTTGTGTGCACCCTTAAATTTCTCACCTGGAACTTTTTTGTCAGAATAATGATTTGTCTTGTTCAGTTAGTCTCAGTTTGTTCATTGACTAGTAAATGATTTATCTGGACAGGTTTTGGCAGAGCAAAGCACTGCAGTTGCCATGCCACCTTTTCCTGTCTTCTGTAAACATAAAGAACATGTTCTTTGTAAAAGTAGGTTATAACTTTGCTGATACACGTAAACGTGCAAGCATAGAAGAGTCTGCTGTGGGCGCAGTCTAACTATTAATATACATCATTTGTGTTTTCTTGGTGCTCTGGGTATGGACAGGAAGTCTAATGTCACCTTTCTTTCTCTTTACCATATTAATAGGACTGTTTTTGGGAATGGCAAACGAGACTGTTGTTTTAATGTGTGAATGTGTATTTTGTGTGTAAGAGAAATGGGTCTATACTATGCTGCTACATTCTTTAAATCCATCAGTCATGTACGTAATGTAAACAGCTGAGTGTGGTTAAGAAGCAAAAGGCCATTTAAAAGCCATGCAGAAAGAGAAGGCTATTCTCTCCAGACCCTCTCCTCACCACCCAACCCTTCTCTGTTCTCCAGCTGGGGTCAATTTGCGTGTGGGTGGGCTGGGCCCCCTGAACTAAATGAATGCTGGTTCCTGGCCATCTTCCCCATCCCTTTTCTTCTGTAACAAATCTGGACTGGGAGGGTGTTACCTCCCAGGCAGATAGATTCCTCAGTTGGAAATGTTTTTTTTTTCTTTTCTTTTCTTTTTTTTTTTATGTTTTTCTTGCCGCATTTGGCTTTCTCAATCATATTCTTGCCGGTCTGTGTCCCCTCTTTTCCTTTTACAGTAACTTTTCTTATACGAGCCTGCACTGTCAGATAATGAAAAGTACCAAATGCACTCAGCAGACTGATGCTGCGTTTCCACTGTGGGAACCGAATGAGCAGTACTTCACTTAACCATCACCAAGCATAGCCTCTTGGGTTGATGCGGATTGTCCTGCTTTGTTTTTCCACTGTATTTTCTCTCTGTTTAGAGGAGGAAGGGGCTGCACTTTTCTCACACACGCAGTCAGCTGTGTGTTTACACACTGTACTTGTAATGCTAATGCTTGAGGTGCGAAAAGGCAAACATTTAACCAATCATTGGTGACTGCTCTGCATGCACACACCCCCTACCTCCTGAGGGGTGCTAAAATTTAGCTCCCACACCTTACCTCCAAAGCGGGCCCAGTATACTGGAAACAAACGTAGAACCCATGATGAGTGTTACTCAAAAAAACCCCTTAACACCCATGACAGTGTGTGAATCCACCGCAACTTAAAACAGGATATTTTGTCATACTTGAAAAATTAATGTCTAGTTCTCTCTTCTACAGAAAACACATTTTGTAGTGGTGACCATGTATCATGGCACAGTCCACTAGACAACAGTGAATCTCGCATCCAGCATATGTTGCTTACGGAGGACCCACAGATGCAACCAATTCAAACTCCTTTTGGCACAGTTAGCTTTCTCCAGGTGAGTTCAAATATGGGATATTCACATAGTGGAAATCACTCTACATCAAGGGTTCCTTGATAGACTAGTGGTTAGGGTGCAGCGCTCCCACCACTGCGGTAAGGGTTGTGTCAGGAAGGGCATCTGGTGTAAAACAGTATGACGGTTTGCTGTGGTGACCCCTAACGGGACAAATGGACATTCATTCATATTCACTCTACATCAAGTACATTTGGGATCTTTTTGCCTACAAAATTAAAGCCGACAGCAGGAAACCATAATGGGGTGTAGATTTAGGATTTGGGGTAACCAGCATTAGAAAAGATGACAGTGACGGTAACCCTGAAATCTAATATTAGTACCGATAAGGCTGGACACAGTTACTTATTGTTAAATTTGATGCATTTTAGGGAAAACTCCATGATAAAATAATAAAGTTAACAAATAAAGGAAAAAACCTTTGTGTTATCCAGTTTTATTATGCAGTGAGATGAGTGATTTTTGGAGTCCAAGACTGTGTACAGTTTACACAGCCTCATTATACTAATGTGTCGTCTGCAGACATCAGAAAAATAGTTGACTTGACAATAAAATTGGCACAACTTTACTTTTTGTCATAAAATTAACAGTACTAAGAAGCACTCAGGAACTAACAAGAATGTAGACCGCACCCTCTCATTCTCTTCATGTCTACTGTAGATTGTGGGTGTATGTACAGAGGAGCTACAAGCAGCCCAACAGTGGAATGGTCAAGGCATCCTGGAGCTGATGCGTGGAGTGAGAGTGTAAGTAGAACTGTGTACTAGCATGTGGTTCAGATAGATTAAGGAGTCATGTTTTATGCTTAACTACCTAGGTTAGTTCTGTCTTTCATAGCTTAGGTTTGTTGTGTCAGTCTAAACAAATGTAGTGTGTGATGGGAAACGCATCATTTTAATTTGTGGTAATTTTAACATGGTTTGACACATGGCTCAAGTCTTTTTTTTTTTTTTTGCGTTTGTGCATGAAAATTGTGACTTCGCTGATGATTTTTCATTATAACCTTTTGATATAATATCTCCCTGATCTGCCTTTGTTGTATGGTATAAGCAAATTAAATATATGACTTAATTATTTAGTTACCTCTATGGTCAGTTATTGAACGGAGCTGAAAATTAAAATACACTGCAAGCAGCAGGTGGAGAATGAAGTTACTTGTTCATTTATTAACTTTGTGTGTTTATCTTGAAGTTAATGTTGACACTGACTGATGTTGATGACTGTCTTGCTCAGAGCTGGTGGCCCCTGGCTAATCACAGACATGAGGAGAGGAGAGACCATTTTTGACATTGATCCACACCTACAAGTAAGGCTGTTTTTTTTTTGTTTTTTTTTAGGTTCTGCACACTCAGCTAAGTGCACAAAATTGTATTTATATAACGCGGTACAATTCAGAAGCACCATAAACTGCATCTTTCTACATATGATGATGTAGAGTCGAGCAAATTTCATTGTACACAAGTTTAATGACAATAAAGACATCTTCCAAAATAACCATACAGTTGAATCAACATTTCTCTAAACAGTTTAAACTGAGCATTATAACCTTCATAAAGAGAAGATTCGTTGCAGGACTGTTGTATTAACCTGCATTAGTTTTAGCCAGGTGTACCTAATAAACTGTCACCTAAGTCTACAGAAATGCTCTCTGACAGTATTAAGCACCCTCTGTTGGCCCCTATACATTTCAGCAGGGTCTTCTCATTTCTGAAAATGTTTTATGTGAGTTGGGCTTAATGATTGCGTATGTTTCTTGCTCATCTAAGCAGGAGAGAGTGGATCAAGGTATCGAGACAGAGGGCTCTAACCTGAGTGGAGTCAGCGCCAAGTGTGTGTGGGATGATCTGAGTCGACCGCCAGAGGACGAGGAGGACAGCCGATCCATCTGCATAGGATCACAGCCACGCAGACTCTCAGACAAAGGTGTGCCAAGCAGGTCCCAAAGCAGCAGAAAGAGTAGCTCGTCTAATTAAAGACTAAGCAGATCCAAGAATGCATAACCAATCTGTATGCAGGAGTACTGGTTTCATGCTGCCAGGAGTGTGCGATGTGGTAATTCCATGCTGGATTTTTTTTCTTTTTGCAGACACAGAGCAGATCAGGGAGACCCTGAGAAAAGGACTGGAGTTTAACAGCAAGGCAGCACTACCACCCATCAACAGCCAGAGGCAGAGCCATGAGAAACCTCAGTTAGTGTTCCTCCCACACACGTACTAATGTGGGTTCAGCTCAGCACAAGGGTTGGACTAGGATAACTCCATCCACTGTGTGTGCAGTGACTCACAGCACAACTGAACTGTTATCACTATTGTTTCTTAGCTATAAGCATACTATGGTGGTTTGTGACTATTCTGTTGCTATTTTTCTGCAGAACTTGTTGCTCCCCCTCAGAGTCAACAGCTCTATAAGAGGAATTGTGAAACTGTTGCCTGTACATTCCTATTTTGCTTCACACTAGCTGTTTTTCACTGCCAGCCGTCCTCTCATTGCAGATTGTACGATTTCAGACTTCCTCACTCACATTTACTTTCCACTCTTTCGCTTTTCTTCTTTGTCTGGTTCTCAGGAGTCGGAAGGACAGTTTGGAGAGTGAAAGTTCAGCAGCCATTGTCCCTCATGAGTTGATCCGAACACGTCAGCTGGAGAGCGTCCATCTGAAATTCAATCAAGAGTCAGGCACGCTACTGCCCCTCTGCCTACGGTAGTACATACCATTCTCTCCTACACCCACACCCAATATTTACCCTTTTCTAATGTCCATGGACAGACAGATAAAAAAAAATAGCCCAGACATTTGTGTTTGAGGTTTTAATGCTTTTTAATAAAACACCAAATCAAAAAATACAGATGACACAAGTTTCACAGATGTTCACAAACAAATCAAACTCTGATTATGCTTGTTTATGGTTTTATACTACTTTAAACTGTCAAGAGAGTAAGCAAGGTAGTTATTAAAATGTCCAGTGCTATTTTGACTAAGGCAAATATTTGTAATGAACATAAATGTAACTGTGACCTAAATAAAGTGATTGTCATGCATTTATTGCTGGTCACTTGTAACTTAAGGACAAGGACTCTGGTCCCCTGTAGTAGGCTGTGTTTGTGTAAATAGGCTTGCTGTTGCTCTATTCTGACCCTTGACTCTGAGAGAAGTCAGTCAAGGTTATTCCTGTATATTAATACTGTAACTGAATCACCAGAGTCAACACAGCTCATGTACAATGTACCCAACGAGAAGCGTGTCAAACAACATGAGGAAGCTTTAGAAAACAAAGCTCACTGAATTACAGCTGGGACTTTAAACTTACATTTATTTAAGTGTCAGATATATGGAAAATATTGAAGAGTAAAAAATTGTGCTATGAAAACAAAAATAACATGCATACAAATCCAATTATAGACCGGTTTCTCTGTTGTCACAGTTTTCAAAAATCTTGGAAAAACTTTTTAATAACAGATTAGACACATTTATTAACAAACATAAAATCCTCTCTGATTGCCAATATGGTTTTAGGTCGAACCGATCGACATCTCTGGCCATTACTGACCTAATGGAGGACATAACAAGTGCTATGGATGAGAGGAAATACACGATGGGAATATTTATTGACCTAAAAAAAGCATTTGACACAATCAATCATGAGTTATTAATGGATAA